TGGGGCAACATATCTTGGAGCCTTCGAGTTTTCCCACCACGAGGCATGACTTACCTACAGTTATGCATGATATGCTAAACATCAGAATGTATGCATGTACAATGGTGGGTTCGACTTTTAGTTGGTATCTAATGCATGCTCTGATACCAAACTGACACACCCCGTCCCGTGTAACACCACTAGATCCGGACGTGGCATGCGTCGATGATAGATACAAACTAAAAGTCAAACCCACCATCAAGGCTACTACAAATACAATATCTCACTTTTTATACATCATTTTTCTAACAAAATTTCGGCATTATCTCCCCTGTAAACAGGACTAACCAACCTGTGATCAATTTCACACAAATCCCAAACTATAGCACAACACAATAAAGATTAGCTAAAATCTCCACTTTTACCAAGAAATACAATGAAATATACATATAGATACATAATACATAGTGAGTCCCATAACTATCTACTAGTAATGCAAAATCACATCTAGACATGAACATGCATCCCAAAACATTGACTACATGTTCTATGAAGTGAGTCATACTAACAATCTTTGTCGTGTGACTCTGATTCCAAAATCAAGGCTCAACTCCAAAAGATGCCCAGATTCTCAACTGCTGCTTGATAAGGAAAAACGTGGAAAAATATATGAGTTGATAGCTCAGTGAGTGGAGAAGTTCAAAATAAATATACTTTTCATTTATACATTTTCATTGAAAATCAAATTCATATCATTTGATAATTCACAAGCTACTATCATGTAATTATAGTCAAAAAGTGAAATATTCCCAAAAGGTCATACAATATCATCTTAAAATCATGATATGATATCAGCTGATAACCATGTTATAATCTCATCACATCAAACGTGCTGAAAAATCCACCAAAAATGTACCCTCTGATTGAAATATGTAATCCACCTCTCGGATTAAGAACTTTCGCCACGGGCCTTTGGCCCCCTCCTTGAACGAAAGTCGGTCTTAAAGATCTCTCACAATCAATTCTAGAACACAGTCAAGGCCCCTTTGTGAACTATATGTACACGATCAAGATCAATATCAGGTCAAGACCCTCCGTGTAGGATAGAACATGGCCAATGCCCTTATATGAATTAGAAGAAGTATATAATCATGGGTACTTTTCTGACTGATCTCAATAGTGCATGTCTCACATACCAAATAAATCTCAATATCACATATCTTACATAGTAAGTCACAAATATACCATAAATTATCTTTGATATTCCACATATATCAAAATAAAAGAGATTTCCATAATAACCATATAATTCGAACACATAATTGCATATACTTTAACAATATACTTAATTTATAAATATTTTAAAAATATTTATATTTTTTCACTCACAGAACTATGTACGCCAAAATCAATTCGATTGGTACGCTGTCCCGATATCCGTATCACCGCCTGAAATATAATATAATTTTTAAATCAACAATTAACTAATTTAAGTAATTTCAATAATGAAATAGGCAATACCCAAACATAATTATTTCACATTTAGGCAATTTCTAAAGTTTCTTTAATTAGTAAAACTAATTTTTCTTTCATTTTACTTAATTTCATAGTTTATTATACTTAACCCCTTCAATAAAATTAAATTTAATCTAACAACTATAAAATCAAACATAACCTTTCAATACGTAACTTTTTACTTACCTTTCAAAATTGAGAAATTCAAGCCTAATAGTATAACTCACTTAATTCCTAACACGTTGGCAAGTTTTCCCCCTTTTTTTCCTTCTTTTTCTTCCTCATTTTCTTCTTTTTTTCCCTTGTTTTTCTTCTCTGGTCCGTTTTCTGTTTCGTGTGTTGTGCGTGTTATATGTTATTTACTTTGTTTTTGGTAGAATTGGATTGATATCAATCCAATTCCACCGCCTCATATACTATATTTTATTATTTTTTTTTGTTTGACTTTTTTTTATTAAGCTTAATGTATTACAAAAATGTCTTCACACTTTGAAGTTGGAATTTTTAATGGGAAATGGGACTTTTCTATTTGGCAACAAAAGATGAAGGATATTTTGGTCCAACAAAAAGTTTCAAAAGTCATGGATGACAAATTTTCTGCAAATTTAACAGAAGCACAAAAAGAAGAGTATGATGAACTTGCATACACTTCAATTATGTTACACCTATCTGACACTATTTTAAAAAAAGTAAGAAAACTTGATTCTACAAAAGAACTTTGGGAAAAGTTGGAGAATTTATATTTGCTTAAATCTACTCCTAATAAACTGTACTTTCTTGAATGATTTTTCAACTTTAAAATGGATCCTTCAAAGAATCTTGATAACAATCTGGATGTTTTTAACAAGTTAGTTCAAAACATCATTAATTGTGATTAAAATGTATCTGCAACATACAAAGCTATTATCTTGCTTAATTCCATGCCTGATTTATATAGAGAAGTTAAGAATACAATTAAGTATGATAGGGATACCTTAACAGTCGAGATTGTCATAGACTCGCTTACGAGTAAGGAGATTGAGATTAAGGCCGAAAAAGAGGATAAGAGAAATGGTGAGTTACATATGATGAGGAGTATGATGAAGTTTAAGTAAATGAATTTGGGTAGAACTCAAGACAGTAGTGACTCGAGTGATGAGGGTAGTAAGAAGAAGGGTAAGGGACGAGAAAAGTCTAGTGGTAGAAGGTGTTACAATTGTTGTAAGTTTAGGCACTTTATTAGGGACTGTCCCAAGAAGAAAGATAAGCTGAAGGGTAAGATGAGAGGTGAGACGAATCTGACTTTAGGGTTGAATGATGACCCTAGCGAGGTTTCTTGAGAGTAAATCTAGTTACTTCACATACATCTATGTGTGATTCTTTCCGTATGTGTGTGATTGTCTAAATTTTGTTGCATGATTATCTACTACATTTCAATGTGTTTGATATGTGCATTTGCATGAATTTGAGACAATATAATTACTTGGTGTAATTGCTAGCATGCATAGCAGTGTGTTGTGTGTTTTTTGGTAAGGTAGAGTGCAGATACATAGGGGTACATTGTGATTTGTATCGGGGATGTGGATTGTGACATTTGGATCACGAGTGGAAATGTGATCAAATGTCTAGAATCTTTTATTTGTAAAGAGACCTTGATCAAGTGGAGTGTGAGAAAGGCACTTCTATCACTTCTGCTAGGTGGAGACCCATTATCCACATAGGTTGGGATAAGTGATGTAGAGATAGAGGATTATCTTGTGGACTTAGGATCTATTGTGACCTACCAGTTAGACATGAGTTGGGTGATCGATCTAGTGAGCTTGGTGGACGATAAGAGGACATATGTATTCTCAAAGTGTGAGCGACACGGAATGGGATAGGATAAGTGTGGTGAGATCTTTTCGTAGGGTCATTTATGCATGTGTTGCATATGTGGTTGACCGTGATTTGATTGACTTGGTGTTAATCTATGGTTCTTTGTGAACGTGTTTCTGAAAAGATCTATATGTGTTATCCTATAATATATCGTCATCGCATGTGTATTTGCTCTTAATTGTTTACTGTTAAATATTTGCTTCTACTTGGTTTTTTTTGACCTTAGCCCCGATAAGTATATAGAACAGGTATAGTATGTGTTTCTAGTTGGAAATACGAGGTAAGGTATGTGATCCAATTTTATTGACTACCTTGATTATGCAAATGCTAACTGTGTGTTTTAATTACTTGCAGATTTATTGGACAATAAAGTGGAGATTTGTTAGATTTTTTATATCTAATAAATCCCGAGCTATGATGTTAACGTGGGTTAATATTATTTCATAGGCATAAGTTGATGAATGAAATAAGTCAAATAACCAAGTTCATAAGCTACGTCCGACCCAATTGTATTCCCTTTTGGATGGCTTGAATCTTGGGCCTTTTACCTCTTTAATGGTCCAACTTAAAGACTAACCCTAGAGTATATATATGGCTATAACTCTAGCCACTTTCTTGTGATGTTTTGTGAGGTTTTGTGTGAGAAAAAGTAGAATCCTGGCTGTCTCCTTTGGTGTGTGAAAAATAGCCTGTAGAAGTATCCAAAATGCTTTATTATCGTGTGCAATTGGTGGTTCCTTTATAGTATACCTTTGTGGTGTCTTTTTTTAGCCTTTGTGGCCACAAATCATCATCATCTTTTCTTATCCTTCGTGGGTAAGATTGAATAGAAATCGAGGTGAATTAGATTAGTTGTGGTTTGGAGCCGATTGGATTGGTTGTTGGTTGAGAAATGTATGTTGGATTGAGTCTGAAAATCACCGATTTGAAGATCATTTGAGAGAGTTTCTGCAACAGAATATAATTAAGAAACATACATAATAAAACTTATCAATCATCAAATTCTATGAAGACATCTCTAACATGCCAAACATACTGGAAGAATATAAGTCTAATTTGCTTTTAATTTGAGACTGGTGAGGTGGTCCTCACTCACTCAGTTATCAATTATCACCTCAAGGTATGGTTCGAGTGGTGAGTGAATCAATCAATTGGTTGCAAATTTGGAACCACATA